TGTCGCGTTTGAATGAAATGGGCGGAGGCTGCGAAAAGATAGTGCTTGTCTCTGGATCGTTTTGAAGTAATTTAAAGTTTTTAAGAATGATGGATTTAACTGAGTGGTTGTGAGGGTGAAACGTGAGAGTGAATGGAATGCGATCGGAATCTTCCTTGTGTGACGTTTGTAGTGCTGAATGTCGATCAATAAGTTGGGCGCGGTGGTAACCCGCTTGAACGACAGAATGAGGGTAACCACGTTTATCGAAAAACTGGCACATTGACTCTGATTTGTGGTGGAAATCATAGTTATCACTACATAAACTACGAAGTCTTAGAAAATGAGGAAAAGGAATGGAATTCTTAACGTGAGATGGATGCGAAGACGAATACAACAAGTAATTATGCGACTCTTTAGGTTTGTAATACACACTAGTGCATAAACCGTTGCTTTCAATTGAAACTTTGATGTCTAAAAAGGAGAAAGAATTGTCAGAAATTTCCCAGGTATATTTCAGAGCCGGGTGAAAAGAATTGACTGCGGTTATGAATATTGAGTCAGCTCCTCTCTGGTAGAGGAGGTGGCGCCGATACAATCGTCGATGTAGTGACCGTAGCGTTCAGGTTTGGAACCGTTGTATTGGCTGAAAAATTGGTGTTCGACAAAACATACAAAAAGATTGGCATAGCAAGGTCCCATTTTGGTACCCATGGCTACACCATTGGTTTGTTTGAAAAAGTTGTCCCCGAATGAAAAACAATTGAGTTTGAGCACTAGTTCGGCTAAGCGTCGTAGTGTTTAGGATTTAGGTTCCTTAACAGTACGTTGATCAAAAAAATTGTTAAGGGCCAGAAGGACTTCGCCATTAGGAATAATAGTGTAAAGAGACGTAATATCCATGGTTAAAAGAAGTTTGTTTTGGCCAAGGAAATTAAAGTCACGAAAAATTTGAAGAGCAATCTGCGGTCTTTCCTTACACTTAGGTAGCACGGAAAGCCGTAAAACTCTTGAACAAAAGCTCATCTTTCAAACCGGCAGTCTAAATCCCACAGGTATCAACGAACGCTTTCATTCCACTAATTTATTCGTGTTTTCCTCGTTGCCATTTCCTGCCTTTAAAAGCTCCATTTCCTGCCTTTAAAAGACACACAACCCACAATTCCTCTATTCGCTCCGAAGAAGGGCTAACGCTCGAGACGTCAGCTTTTATAATCGTAAAGGTGGCCAATTTACCATTTCAACTTTGTTGATATATTCAAATTATTTCGTTACCCCCACCGACGCAGCCCCAAACAGTTTCTTTAGAAACTATCAGCCTTTATGGGAGTAGTGGATCTTAGTTTTGTTGAAACCACCCTACTTTTGTTTAAGCCACCTCCTCTACAGGTGGAGCTAGCACTGCAGTCCCTAGAAAAGGCTGCTTTGACATTCAGGGTGCTGTCAAATTATGTCATCATCTCCAGGTTCGGCAACAGATGACCAAAAACCTGAACAGTTTGCATCCACAATTGGGACTGCAGCGTTCAGTGTCATCTCCACCTGCTATTTTCGCCCGATTCGCATCATTTCAGGACTTGGGCCTGCACAATGGGGCCTTTAGGTGAATTGTGCTGAACTGATCCCACACTTTGTTCCCGAGGTCATCGGCTATGGTCTAACGAGCGAGGACGTTGACAGCGAGTCCCACGGGTCATAAATGTTACATCAGGGTGTCTTTCTCTGAGACAGATTAACTTATAAGGCCTACAAGCTCAATCTACCCAAGGTAGGAATTTGAGCTATCTTTCTTCAAGTTTAGCGCACAACTGTGGCTAACGAACCCAGTCCACCCATCTGGTTATCGCACTGGACACTCAATCGCGCCACGATAACAGCTCTGTTGAAACGGTGATGTCAGAAGGCGTTGTTAGATGCACTTTAATGTAGGAGAGGCACTATGCAATGATCTCCTGCCTGGCAATCCAGAAAGGAGCCAGGCAGCAAACATTGCACCTGGAAAGGAGAAGTGAGTTTTACATCACTTTATTTGAGTAAGCGGGAAATTTGGTTCAGACCTCATAACTCCCCCCCCCTCCCGCCACCACATAAAAGTTATTACATATCATCGCACCTTTTTGTTTGTCAAAATGGGAAAGTTTTACAATCTGTAAGGCTAAAAATGATTATTTATCTACACCTCTTGAAGAAAATACTGGATGCCTATTTGAGCAAGATCTTTGCAATTGGAAGCCCACCGGAACATGGTTGATAAGCAAGTTTTTCCCCTTTGGGTTCTCGTTAAGAGATTGGCAAGGCACCGATGGTAGGTCAATAGTCAAATGAGCTTAGTGAATGGAAAAGAATTGCCGTAGAAAGTAAATTACGTCATAAATGTTTGGTCTTCTTCTTCTTCCTAAAGGAGGTTTTACTTATCATAAAGGCTGTTCAAGACTGGCCAACGGTGGGTCAGGATGTTACGGAAGTTTAAAGAGCCCTCATATTTTCTCTAAAGCGGGTTGGAAGTGTTTGCAGTTTTGGTATTACATCGGTAAAGAAGGACATGCTTCTCTTCGTGTGACTTTAATTTCAAACGAGACCCAAAGGACATTGTTGACCTCTTCTGAAACTGGAATCTGGACCTTTGCTCGTTTGCCCATCATTCCATTTTCAGTTTCCTATCAGGTAAGTAAAGCAGATTGGAGGACATGCAAAGGAAGTTAATAATCAGTCATACAGCTTAAACGTTTAAATTAGACGTATTTTCAACTGTAATCAGTTGCTGGTTAGAAAGTTATCTTATCTTTTATATGGACCAGATTAAATAACAGCTATGAGTTCTCTGTTAGTCATCAAGCTCTTATGGAAATCAGGTGGTACAAAAGAAGGCCTATTCAAAACATACTGTAGCTATGCGGCTTTCACATTTCAATGAAAACTCCAAGGTTGAGGTAATCAAATACAAATTAAGCTCAGATAATAGAGGTCTTAACTGTCACCTCTCGTTTTTTAACAGGTTTTATTCCAAGGGCGAACAATTGCTATAGACGATGTTGTTTTTCAAACTGAAAGTTGTGAAAGAATGCCCTGTAATGGTATGCAGCACAGTTTGACCGGCTACATCTTCATAATTTTTCTCAGCATTTTCACGTTCATACTCACAATGTTATGTTTGAAGGATTACTTTATTTGAATTTTCGATGTATTTCATTTATGTGTCTAATATGATTTCTCTGGATGGGCTCTCATGGTGTCCTAGATACCTACAATCTGGAATTTTTAATCACGGTTTCTTAAAAATATTAAATCGTACTTACCTAATATTTGAACAAAACAGCGCCATTTTTCTTTCATAGAACGGCTCTGTAACTTTCCTGTAATCCTTCTTTGACGAAGGTACATACACCGAAAAGCTTGAGCCGAGCAATTAGCTACCAAGAAACACAATATACCTACTAAGAAAACGCTCGCTCCTTAAAACTTCGCTGTTGTTGCAGCATCTCACTTGTTTTTTTAGCTGGTTATAGTGGACACTTGAGTACTTCGTCCAAAATCCTGACCCGCATACTATGAAGCGATATCACGATAAAGGAAAATAAAAAAACCATTCTTCCATCGGGTGCGATTATGAGAATTTTCTGCTTGCGGTCTGACCTTTTTCCGGTTCGAGAAGCCAAGTTAGAAACTTTATGTTTGCGTAGTTACATATTATTTCACACCAAAAAACAATTTTCTCTCCTACCCCGCTATTATGGACTCTCGCTATTACGGAAATGAAATCTCCCCCTAGAGTGTCCGTCCGCAATAACGGGAGTCGACTGTATCGAGAAAAATAAACTATTTCTTTCGAATCTGTGTGGTATATACTAAAACGAAGCTTTTTAACGCTAAACCCAATGCTATAAAATCAGAATTGTAGAGGGAATCTAACGCAATGATTGTCGAGCTACTAAAGCACGCTCAATAACACAATGTTTAATAAACAGACCCAGCTTTGACTATAACCCCATTCTAAGTATGTTCAGTGCAGTTACACTGCACGAGGCGTAATTCTACGTGAATAACCAAAAATATAAGAGTTTCTAAGAGTTCATATCAGTTACACAAATTGATCTTATTATTTTTATCTAATTACGTCAGTTCCGAACGTTTTTTGAACTTCAATATAAGAATGTACATTTCGCATTGTATTAATCTAAAGAGTACTACTGTATAATAAAACGACCCAGTAAACCGCATGGGACACTAAAAAGGCGTTTGATACCAAAAAGGAAGTTCGCCTAACTTATTAACTGATTTTTCCTTAAAGTGCACCTAAACCCAAAAAGTTTTTTTTCGCTCAACGAAATAAGCGTATTTTTTGGAGTATTTCTGTGTAAAATTTTTTTTATTTGCTTAAGTCTTCATTTTTCTTTGCCCAGTCAAAATATGGAAAAATCGGCGCCATCTTGCTCCACCACTGAGTTTAAAGAGGAATGGCTGTAGCGGGTAATGTGACGTCAAATCGAGAACACGAAAGTCTGCATTTCACACATTTTCACTTGTTTGGGAAGGTTGTTGTCGATATTGTCCGAAAATTTGCCGACTAAGTGTGTTTTAGAAGGATGTAGCAACGTGCGAAATTTGCAAAAAGGGCTTCGCGCTTCATACACACCTAGTCGGCATATTTCGGACAATGTCGACGACAACCTTCCCAAACAAGTGAAAATGTGTGAAATGTAGACTTTCGTGTTCTCGATTTGACGTCACATTACCCGCTAGAACCATTCCTCTTTAAACTCGGTCGTGGGGCAAGATGGTGGCCGATTTTCCGTATTTTGACTGGGCACAGAAAATTAAAGATCTGAGCAAATTAACAAATTTTTGAACAGAAATACTCTAAAAAATAAGATTATTTCGTTAAACGAAAAAAAAATTTTGGGGTTTAGGTGCACTTTAAAACAAAACTTTGAAAACGATCAAGTATACCGATATTTCTATTAATGATGCTGATAATGATGAACCTAAAATTGCAAATATACTGAAAGGTTCTTTTTGTCCTCTTGCAAGTTAACGGCAGCTGTTTGGAGTTTCGTCAAGGCTTTTATGGATGGGTCAATACTGAGAAAAGCACTACACCATGGAAACAAACGACGAGGAACATAGACGAAAGATCAACCTATGCCAAAGAAGGTTGAAACAAAGATTTTTTGTTATTGCTTCCAAATTGCAAATAAGAGAGGGTTGGTATGTGCTTAGAAGCATGAAAACGTGCTGAAATTGGACTTTGTGGAATTCTTTTTGATACACGCACGCTCGGGATTTTCTAAGTTGTCTTTCATTTAATTTCTTCTCCTTTTTTTGCTTAAATGTTATCGACCTTGAAATAACAATTTTCTCGTTTACTTCCTTAAAGGCGTTGAGAAGGAAAGCAATTACCAAATGAATTTTTCTGCCAATCATAGCGGCTATGTAAATATAACTGATTTGCCCGATCTCTCGGCTTTTACCATCTGCCTCTGGATGAAATCGTCAGACAACACCAGCGCAGGCACTCCCCTATGGTACAGAGTACGCTATGAAAACAATGGAAAATATGTGACTGCAATTGCGCTCATTGACTACTGAGGGTTCTATGTCTACGTTGGCGAGAAAAAGTACGTTTGCTTCCTAAAGTATTAAGTGTTCTTGATGACCAAAAAATATTATTTTGGGCTTCGAAGTTCGGGTTGAAAAAGTCAGGTCTAAAATATGGAAACTTAATTTTGCCCTGTCCTATAGAGTAGTACAGTGGTATATTTTTTGTGTTTTATTGCCATAAAATGGTAAAATGACGTAGATCGTAGAGGTGTTTGGTCGTAGAGGCCAAATTGACTTAAAGGCGAAAAAAACAGCTTTTAAGTTTAGGTTGGGAGTTCATTTTTATGTCCACAAATTTCGAATGATAAATCATTGGGAAGTTTCTATAGGCCGGTCAGTTCAAAGTGATTGGAATGCCTTTGAACTTCGTGTATGGTCAGTTACAAAAAGCCTAACAAATCCATCCTACACTGGTCATCTTACCAGCCACCTCTGTCAAGAAGGTACACCAAGGCAGTTGATGTTCTCAGGTTGACATCAAATTCATGGAAAAGCTGTTTCTCCTTAAGAACAGAAGAAAATGTTCTTGATGACGTAGCCAAAGATATCCTGTCGAGAAAGTACAGTGAGCTTTAGGATTGCAGTTCTCAGTTTCCGTTTTTATAGTTCATATTCTTGTTTAATAAATGGACGTGAGTGTTTTACAGAGAACTAAAACACTCGTAGAATCAATACGAACTTTTCATCGGGAACCGAGTGGCGTACTTCTCGTATATAGCACGAGCGGGTGATATTTATTAACGACGTCACGATTCTCGCCTTCCAGACTTTTTTGAATGAAATTGGTTTGTTTGTTGTTTGAAACATTAAATAGTTGTCAGATTTGTTACGGTAGGCGGCGAAGATTTAAATGCATTTTTCGAACGAGATAACTAGAACACCAAAAAGAAAAGGCTATATGATTTAAAGATTTTCCAGGAATTTCACGAAAGTTGCGACGAAACTTGTACATACGGGTTGATTTTTGTTCTGTTCGTGCTGAACAGCCCTCAAAGGTTCGTAATGAAAAGAGACTGAAAATAAAAGTATTGGACAATTCAGGTCAGAGCTAGTGATCGAATTTCGTCAAAGCCCATAAAACCAGTTCACGTGTATTTTGGCCCAACTGAAGATGTTACGTGACTGTAAAACCTTTAATAATTTAGGCACAGGTATTTTGTCTCTATTGATAACCAGTATTTTTTATTAAGGCCAGCCTTTGAATCTTTACCACGTATATTTATTGTCCGTAGTAATAAAAAGAAAATTACACGCTAGCTCAAAGATATGAATTTTATGTTCTTGTGGCACGAAAAATATCTCGATGCGCTCACTCATGAGATATTGTTCTTGCCACTCGAGCATGAAAGTCATATCTTCTCGCCACCGTTTAATATCCTCTATATATATCACAGATTAAGGACAAGTGCCAGAGCAAACGACGGAAAGTGGCATCATATTTGCTTGGCGTGGAAATCTATAGATGGAAAAGTGTACTTCTACTTTGACAAAGGACAGCTTTTAGATGAAGGATTTTTTGCAGGAGATAGAATTCCCGGTAAATGGCTACCTAGCCTGAAGTGCAAAGAAACTGTATTTGTGGCTTTGTTCTTATAGCCTATCCAGTACACATATGATTACAAGTGATTAAGGAAACAGTCATCAAATAATGCAGAGGTTACAATCAACATCGATAAGACTACTCTGGCGTTGTTTATTAACTGCTGCTTCAATGACCAAATCGATGAAAAAGACGTTATCACTATTAAATTAAATTACTATTGACGGCGATCGCTTAAAAATATATTGGAAAGTTGTGATTGACTCTGGTAAGCATGGAAAGTACCTTTCTGTTCTCATCGAGGTCTGGAGCCCGATTTCCCGTGAGGAAAAAAAAACCAGCTTCTACTGTCAACTGATTGCAGAATCTACAGTTGGGCAGGTCTTTGGAACTAGTTAGCGGCACGTTTATAATATTCTTGTAGAACAGATTGTTTTGGTGATCTTCAGTCCCCTACTCGAATGCTTGCTGACAGATGTGAGAACCTTTCGCCAGTGTTGTTGGCTTTACAAGGGCGTAACTAAGGGGAATGGGGGGAGTAAAGAATTGCAGTGCATTTAACTTCCTTAGTTGACAAAAAAAAAAGGATAAGTTGTAATAACAACCTGGCATACACCTATGCTGCATGCATGGATCCACCCTTTTCCCTGTTACTGGAACAAAAAAAAAAGAAATTGATGAGAACAGGCAAGAGGAGGAAAAGAAAGGATTTTGATTTTGATTTTGAAACAAGAAAAAACTGAATTAAATCCATCCCCTTTTTCAACAGGCAAAGGTGAGTTTGTGGTTGGTTTAACAAACGATCAGGCAAAATTACTGTCAAAAGCTGGCGAATTCATCGGTATTATCAGCCATGTTAATATATTCGACGAATTCTTCGATCAACACGTTATCACCTGGATGTCGCACGGCTGTGGTGAGGATCCGATGAATCCAATTTTTCGTTGGTCCCAGTTTAAGAATGGTCTCACTGGAGATGTCGAGATTCAAAGAACTACGACGTGTAGAGACAGTGAAGGTTGGTGCATGCAACTCTTCAAATAGGGTTAATCGTAGTAGCCTTTATTTCTACCGAATACGTGTACGCTACGTTTGCCTTTATTGACCCAAAGAGATCATGTGCACATTTATGTTTCTTGGTGTGCTGAGCGAACCAGGACTTCCCTAAAAAAATTGAGGCAGGTGCGAATGCTACGCCATTGTAACTCAGCTTTCGTTTACGGTTCTTCAGCCTGTCTCGGTTTGAAGTTATATGCATTTATGATGTTGATGTGTGTGAAGGCGTCTTTAAATTTAAAAGTTTTTGACGTTTGTAGCCTAACATGTACAAAGTGAAATGTTTCATATTTTTGTTATTCATTTAACTGATAGCGTGATATCTCATAACAGTTCAAACTAAAGGCGGTGTATACTTAAACATGGGACAATCATGAGAGTCTGATATCTGTAATAATTATCAATCCGTTTCAACACGCAGGTCTCCGCATCATTGTGTCAGCTAACCGAACATCTTTATCTCGACAAGTGTCTGTGTTTGAAAGTCCATTTTATAAGCGATCACATGATGCACACTACGTCTGTGTGCTATTTAGGTACATCATACATGGCTCTGGAAGACGCTTCCTTCGTTTTTATCAACACATGAACTTTGCAAACCATACAAGAAGGATAATATGGGCGGCCAGTTAGTTTAACAACGCAGAAAGAACATGGAAGTATGGAAGAGTAGCCTTGCCAAGTATAACTACATACAGAGTGAGTAAGCTTACAAAGGAAATTATGGGGTAGGGCTACATGTGTGTGGCTGTGCTCTTGCTCCCGAGTGACAGTCATTGCCTTGGGGTTGCTTTATATGCTAGGTTTTTTATGAAACGAACTGGAATGGGAAAACGATCGAAAGAAAAACTAATGCCCTTTTACACAAAGTTGAAATAATTATTGTCACCATCCACTAGAATTTCGAGTTAAGGCTAGAAATCAAACGATCCAAACAACGAATACGTTTTCACCTCAAGTAAGTTGCTCAAAATTACAGCTGCAATACGTATTTCAATGATATTTTCGCTGATCTCTTTTACGATGAAGCAAACCATTTAGCTGTCTTGATGATGCGCGTTCAATAACTGCCAAAATTTTTGTCTACAATTACCATCTTCATTGTGAGGCTATAAATTCCAGTTACTTGATGGCTACATTTCCAGGTTTCTTTTGAGGCGGATTTGGGCAATTATCCTGGCTTTGTTGGTGTCAGGGGCTTACAAGTACAGCCTGGATACTGTCATCCAGTCCCGCTCAGGGCAACACCAGGTAAATGTAAGCTAAATGGGGCGCTTTTTTTTTGTCTGTTTGTGAGTGTATTTTATAGCATCAACCGTCTACGATTTCATTTGTGTTTATTTTTTACCCCCTTTTTAAAACCACCACTTCTTAAAAATAGTGCTGCATATCCTGAAGCTTGCTTTACTGGGCCTGAAGACAATCACAAACTCAAGGTTGGAGTTAATTGCCTATGAACAAAGGCACATAGCCAACTTAACTTAAACTTACACTGGAAAACTTTTTCCTGGCCCAGAAAGGGTGAGGCCCCAAAACACGCAAAACACAGGTTTGTCAGAGGGCCACAGGTTTGTCAGCTATACAGCTGTTACGTGTCCCCTCTATAAATAAAGTCCTTACTTACTTACTTACTTACTTACTTACACGCCCAGAGTGATTGCCAAGGGAAAAAGGGTTAGGGAGGGGAGGGATGAAAAACAATTATCACTACTACAAGTAGCAAAAGTGAATGCCTCGATTATCTAGAATAAATCAAAGTGCATCACACTCTAATAGGAGACATCATTTCATTGAACCCTCCATGACCCCTTGAAATTCCCCCGGATGTTGTCACGCCATCAGTGAAAGTGACACACCATCATTAACAAAAATAAAAAATAGGGAAAAGCATAAAAATTCTATTTGTAGGGAAATATTTCATTTCAAGCTTTATATAAATATTTCTACACCTAAAATAACTAGTTCTTTGTTTTTTGCAGTGTTTTCTTTCAACAGTATTTTGATAAAACTTAATGATACCCTTTGAGTTGAACACTAGCGCCTTAGATCTTCTTGTCTTTCAGAATGCATTGAAGACTTGACCAATTCATCAGGCTTTATTTTCTCTCCGCACTACCCTGGTTATTATCCACCTCAAACTCTCTGTCTTTGGACGATCAAGGTTGATCCAAAAAGCATAATTAAGCTACGTTTCGTGGAATTCCAATTAGAGGATCATCCAACTTGTAATAATGATTATACTGAAGTTTATGATGGAGATGAAAATAAAGCAAGAACTCTACTGGGAAGATATTGTGGCTTGCGATATCCAGACTTTCTTGAGTCGTCGACCAACGTCATGAAAATAAAGTTTGTAAGCAACGACAATGTGACGCGACCCGGATTTAAACTGCACTTCACTTCAGAAGAAGGTTGGCGTTAAAATTGAAGCGCATGTTTAAAAAACACTATAAATACAATTGCTTATACCTGACAGTTCAACAGCTCGAGAGAAAGGTTGATTGAAATATGAATTGAAAAATAGAATTGTTAAATTATCGGTAACGGTAATTTTATTTATAGCAAGAGCGTTAACAATACAGACTACTTTTCATCCTAAAGAGTTTCGTCCCAGAATAGCTTAAACACGAAGGCGCGCTATATAAGGAAGTCTTTCCTGGTAAGACCTAGGCTAATTTGTCACTCAACGTTGACGGGTGCGGGTCAAATTTAAATGCTGGTAGACGAACAAAAGGAGCTAATGAGATATCTATTGTTTACTTCCACCACTGATGGTGGCATGAGGTAACGTGCCAACCACCTACTTCGATCTCAAATTTACTGCCACAAAGAAAGACAGTTTTCATTGGAGAAAGAGAATACAAATCTCAGAAATTCCTGTATTGTGATGAAGACCCTAAAACAATTTTGAGGAATACGCCCGCTGTTCACTGCTTTGGAGTAGCTGTAGCTCAAGCTGACTTGACTCTAAGAGTTCTACATCACACGACGGTTGATTGAGAAATGGTCCAGTGGGACATACGGCTTCTTTTATAGCGCGCCTTCGTGTTTAAGACTCGTTATCATAAATAATGCTACTCTGAATCAGACGATGCTTTGTATATATGCGTTATTTACCAAGTGTGAGTTCAAGACGGCTGAATATTAGCCGAGTTTTTTTTTTTTACTTATTTATGGACCGAGAGTCTGCGTCCATAAAAACGAAAGAAAAAAAAAGAAAAGAAGAACGAGGTTAATATCCAGCCATCTTGAACGAACAAGCTCGGTAAATAAAGTGGGATTTATCATTGAGTGAAAATATTTCGCTTTAATAAGAATCAAGAGCAACTTTTTTATTTCGAGAGCTGGTAAAGAAAGCCAACTGTGTTCGTAGCAAAATAAACCAACTAAAGTTGTTTATGTTTCTTTGCTGATTCTGTTACTGTCTTCTTCCGCTTTTTGCGACTTTGTGACCGACATTGTCCAAATAACATGAACTTCGTAAGTCCGCTCTCGCACGGGATCAAAGCGGGAAATCCCGAGCAGGCAAGATGGACCAATCTTGCCCGCTCGGGTAGACGATCAGAACACAGGATTTGCTTCATATTGACCACAGGCGCTGCTAGCTATAGTAATTGGGGTTGTTATCGCCAACTTATGCTTCTCTGTTCGTAGACTCATATAACAGAGTTAAAATCAAGGAGGTAAATAACTAGATTATTACAAAGTGAATCTTTTTCTTTCTTTAGATCCCCTTGGAAATTCAAACTGCATCAACTTTGATGGTAACGTAGAATCAAATGATAAGGATTTAAACCTGTGTAGGGTAGTCAAGCTCTTAGGCGTTCTCCACTCGGTTAAACCTGAAGTTGACTTTAAGTTGTGACTTCACTGAGAGAGACCCGCCAAGTATAAGTCCTCTCGCCCAGTTTTCTCCCACGAGCCTGTACTTAATTTGTAAAAGAGCAGACAATTGTATTGGACGTGTTTAATACGATGGTGCTCACATGTTTTATAATCTTAATCTTAATATTCTGTCTGCCTATACATTTAAGGTAGCCCTAATTTTTCTCATAAGGTTGCCCTTCTTGCTGTGAATGCAAAGTAATCTCATCCAGCAGTCAAGAAATGGTGATCACAGTTAAAAAAGGAACAGAGCTGAAGGCTGTACCAGAAAAGATGCCAAATAACACAGCTGCAATGTAAGAAATGAAGAGCATGGACAGCCATTTTGTGCTTTAACTCCACGATAAAACTGGGGTTAGGATGTCCGACATTGGAGATATAGGTTCATGGTTAAGTTATCTTAACATAGGGAATCTCCTTTACGCTTGTAGCAGAAGAAGAGAGGAATGATTTTGTTTCTTTCATTTGAGGATGTATATTTTTCCGTTGATATCGTGCCAAAGGTTGTCGTTATCTGTTGTGGCGAAGTACAGTTATGATGAACTATCACTGATTTTTTTCCACCGTGCAATCACTTCCCTTGTTGACTTAAGGGTTTAACTGTCTACTTCTGTGATATTTGCTCATGACCTGATAATAAGTTTCCTGTTGTTTTTGACAGATTATTTCAGAAAAGTAAGATTTCGTATCTACGCAGGAAACAATTTTCTGGCCTTTTGATGTTAACCTACTTGTGAGTCCACTCTTAATTAACCATTGACTAATGTGATTGATAATTGCATGTACTTTCATCACTTCTTTGGTTACCGCACGCAGAACATCATAAAAAAAATGTTTCGTGGATAAGTTTTATTTCTTTCCTTGAGGGATGCATTTTTACCGAGGATTTGACTTGATTAATGACTGCCTTTCGAAAGAGTCTTCGAAATGAATATCGATTTTATATTTCAAANCTAACAGGAGTATTTTAAAAATAATTCTATATTGAATTGGTAACCAGTGAAGCTTGCATAGAACAGGAGTAATATTATATATACAAGGCTAAAATATTAAGAAAAAATTATTAAATAAAAGAAAGTTTAAATCAAACGTTTTCGGCTGTTTGCCATCATCAGGGTTGATTAAGCGAACATTCATGGGCAACAGGAGTAATATGATCAGTTTTCTTTGTGAGAGTAACAATTCTTACAGCAGCATTCTGTATTATCTGTATCTTATAATAGGTTAGAGTTGTTATAGGTTATAGTTGTTATAGGTTATATTGGTTGGAAGTCCCTAAAGCAGAGAATTACAATGATCTAATTTAGAGGTTATGTAGGCGTGAATCAGAATTTCACTAGTGTCCTGGCTTAGTATCTTCTAATTTTACTTATATTCCTTAGATGGCAGAATGAGGCTTGACAGACTTTTTTCACATGTACATGCATCCTTGCGTGCTGATCAAAGTGGACTCCGAGATTTCGTGCTGATTCCCTAAGACAAATCTTTTCCTCACCAACTCTATTCATTTACAGAGAAATTGGAAAACATTTTGAATGAATAGCACTACAAGCGAGCGCGAAAACTTTCAAGTTTAATTGTTTTGAACCCTGAAGTTTGAAAGGCCAACATGTTTTCATCACATGCGTAGAAGGTTAGAAGCAGTAGACGGTAAAGAACATTGCGTTTTTTTTTGTGTCGGGCCAAGTCGGAATCATAATTAAACTGTACTTATTCTAACTTTCACCAATACGAAGCTTTAAAAATGCTGTATTTACCTTTTTGTCCCACTCTCGTTTATGACACAAATTTAATTGATTATTCTTGTTTAGGAAGCTTCGGGAAAATTTCTTAAGGACTTTACCGGGTGGAATTTTCCGTAATGCGTCAAACCTTCAGATTTTGTAAGTATAATGAATAAAAACAAACAAACCATCCAACAAACAAAATTAAACCAAAACTTTAAGACAAGCATTGAAACAAAAGCATAACAATCTAAAATCTTTTTTTTGTTCCTTTTCTGTTCGTTCTTATCCAGGGACTGTAGTTTAAACTTGATAGAGGACATATCATCAACTAGTCTGGCTTCACTGGTGTCATTGACAATATTGTGAGTAGTACAGCACTGTGCAGAAGTAATGCAAACTATCATTGTCGAATAACACGCTTTGTTCTTACGATATATCGGCGATATAATATCGTTTATTTTATCAACACCTCAAAACTATAAATCGACGAGATATCGGAGAGTCCTGCGATATCTCGTTCCGATGTTAAATCGTCGAACTATGTGTGTCTCCAGCGATAAATCGCTACAAAGATATGTTGTACACCGTGCGGGAAATCATCTCGATATATCGCTTCAGTGAATTATCGCTTCAGCGATTTACCGTTGAGCCTGGGATGAGTCATTGCAATATATCGTTCCAGGAAACCCTGAAAGCGGAGCACCTTTTAATAACTTTTCACTGCACTCTCTTTATCAGAACTGCCATCAGGCTTTTGAACAGTTTTTAAAAACAGTTTAAGGTCTATTCATTACTTATGTGGGGTGGGGAGAAAACATGTAAAGTCGATGATCTTTTGCAGGCGGCATGCTGGTGATGAATATTATCGAACTCACAAATAAAAAAATTATGCACCCTGAATTTACAATTTTCTCTCCCTTTTTTTTTTTTTTTTTTTTTTTTTTTCTAGAAGCTTCAGAGGAAATCGGATAAAAGTTATTGATAAGGATGCTTTTAACAACACTCGGAAGCTACAATACTTGTAAGTTCTCACGATAGACATCTCAGTTGTTGATCATAATGACCTGGTCATTATTTGTTTAATTTTTGGTTTTGACTTTTGGTATTTTGTTTCTTTTGTTTCTTTCTTAGAATTATATCTTGACCTACCAATCTCTTTGCAGGTATCTTCAAAATAATTTGTTGGAGGAGTTACCTGATAATTCCTTCTTGGCCTTATCACGACTTAAAGTACTGTAAGTGTAGTGAGCTGTTTTGCAAATCTGTCTTTCTTTTAGCTTCAGCTTTTAGCTTTTAGCTCTGTTTACTCTACTTTTTCTGTTGTTTCATTTCTCAGCTGGTACCATAGCTATTATCATTATCATTATCATTATCATTTCAAAATCAAGAAATCTTAAAGACACAAGATGCTATCCGCAGGCAAATAAAACTACAGTACTGACATAACAGTTCCCCAGTTACTACTGTAACCATTCTATACTTGACACCCGGAATATAATGACGCCTTGCAATTGATACCGACATTTTACAAATCGATACTCTGGGCTTACTTGGTGAAAACACACTGAGAAGCACAACATAGAAAGCTTTCTGGTAGAAGTGCAGAGTGTTTTTGGTTACAGGTCTCTAAGTCACAACAAGATAAAAAGATTGACTTCCAAGACATTTGCTGGGCTTTCCACTCTGGAGAAATTGTAAGAATCACTTTGTTGTTAGTTTTTCAACGGCGACTTTTAATGTTTTGCTTGAATGATGTATCAAACCTAAAAATGCCCTTGCCTATTGGAAGAATGAAAATATCCGATGTTTGCAAAACTGCTTATAAATAACAATAATTCTATCAACATCTAAATCAAAGTTCTTAGAGACATAAAAATTTTGTATGAAGATACGATTTCTTCATTGTTCCGCCAGTTTTGATTATTCTATTTCAAGTTATTTTTGTAGGTTTTTTTTAACAAATAGATCTTTGTTTTAGAGATTTGCAGAACAATTCCATCAGTTTGAGAGACTTTGCACCCGACAGTTTTAATGAACTGAGTAGTCTAAAGGAAATGTGAGTAATTGATAGGTAAACTGATAAAAATCAATCGAATGAGGTGAATCGTATGTTTACTTGCAAATGAAATGCAAGTAGTGAAAAAAATTCTTCGCTGATGAGCTGCGATTACAAAACTTGCAGAAAAGAAGCCTGAAAAAATTCAGAACCCACATAACTCTATCGCTAAAAATTCGAAGCGAGTGCTCTAGAACCTGATGAATGAAAAAGGTAATCTCGGTGATCTTTTCGGCGACATAATTAACATTTTGTTTATAGATTCTATAAATTCAAACAAGTCCAAAATTATTTCTGTTTGAGCCTCCTTGACGAGTTCATCCTTTGTTGTTATGCCCAAAAAGCAGCCCCTGGTGTCCGATGCATTTCTCCGTCAGATGAATTTTCAAGCTGTTCTGATCTGATGAAAAACAAAGCTGTCCAAGTGTGTATTTGGATTCTGGGGCTGTCTGCTCTACTTGGAAATCTCTTCGTAATATTGATGCGATCAATCGTAAAGGAAAATAACAAAATACATTCATTTCTTTTAACGAACCTTGCGATCTCAGATCTTCTAATGGGCATCTATCTGCTTATCATTGCTGTGAAAGACGCACAATGGCAAGGCGAGTACTTTAAACATGACATCAAGTGGAGGTCAGGAATAACGTGTGCATTGACTGGAGTGCTGTCTATGGTATCAAGTGAAGTGTCAGTACTCATGTTAACACTCATCACCACTGATAGACTATTCTGTATTGTTTTTCCCTTCAAAATGAGACGAATGAATCGTGCGATTGCTTACCTTATTGTCGTGGTCATATGGATTTTCGGAACGCTGTTATCGGTTATTCCAATGTTAGGGTTGGATTATTTCTATGACGGTGAGCGTACCGTAGGATTTTATGGAAAGTCTGCCGTATGTCTTCCTCTGCAACTTTCGTCAGATCGTCAAGCTGGGTGGGAATATGCTGTGGGGATCTTTATTGCGTTGAATTTTGCGTCCTTTGTTTATATCCTCACTGCATATGTAGTCATGTTCCTCACTGTCAGAGGAATCGCCAAGAATATCAGGTCAACGAACATGAACAGAGAATCGCAAATGGCGAGAAGAATGATGTTTATCATTCTGACTGATTTCCTTTGTTGGATGCCTGTCATTGTAATCGGAAAGTTGTCACTAATCGGGAAATTTCATGATCCTGGAAGGCAAGCTTACGTGTGGATTGCCGTGTTCGTCCTCCCCGTAAACTCGTCCATAAATCCTATACTGTACACATTTTCCACTCCCTTGATGAAGAGAAAAATGACCGAACAGAAGGAAAGGTTGAGGAGATATTTTCAAAAAAGTTCACTTCAGTTACATGGATCTCAAGGCTAGTCCCATTTCATCCAATTTTTTTGTCTATAATACTGTTGAGTGTGATTGTTTGAAACTAGTGAAGACATCTGGCCGTCTATCAAACACACTTCCACTAGGCGGGTTTATTTTGCTATTGTCACCTAAATGAAAATGAGGGTTATTCAGACTTTTGCCACTAAAATTCTGAAAACCAGGATTCAAAGACTTTCACATGGGTACTGCCTTCAGCTTAAGTACTAAATTTTTAATTTTAATAACCAACTGGTGTTAACCACAATACAGACAAGACTCATTCAGTCAAAATTACAAAATTTAAGTGATCAGCTTTTATATACATGAAATCATCTTTTAGGGTTACGAGACACCTCCACGCGTGTACTAGAAGAGATACCAGAGTGCGGCGGACCTGAAAATGATTTGAAGCTGATTGAAACCCCAAGTCTCTTCTCAGATGAGATTTCACCTTCCGTGGTATGTCTAAGACAAATGTTTAGACTACATAATTATTCATCTCATCTACGGTCGAGAGAGAATGATTGTTATCGCTGTGGAGAATTATTTATAAATATAGATATGTATGTATATTTAACAAATAGAGAAGCCGAGACTGTGCTCTGTTCTGTTGTAAAGCACGCACGACGTGGCTAGAACACGAAAGAAGTATAACAAACCTTATTTCCAAAGTGAATGACAGTGTCGTCAGCATGCTCTGTAATCTCATAAAGAAAGCTACCATAAGCCAATCAGAATCCTTGTTAAAATGGTGCAAATAATCTGATTGGTTGAACGAGATTAAAGCTGTCAAAAATGTGAAACCATCAAAGTTCACAAACCATAAAGTTCACAAGCTGAAATAGTTCGCCAAGTCGAATTTAACACTCGTGCCTGAAGTTCTGAAATGGTCGGACGCCTGAAGAGCCACAAAGGCGGTGAAACGCGTAGCGCAAAAGCAAAGAAAAAGAGGCCTTTCGTTTTTCATTGGTTTTAGTATCTTCATTCGACACAGAAGTTTACAGTTTCTGTTTTAATTAATTCTTTTAGGGTTTTGTTGTGGCCTCGTCAGAAAAGAAAAAAGACGTTTCTTTGCGGCTGATAAAACATTTCTCCAAAGCCAAGGAGAGGGCTTGGAAAAACGAGACAGAAATGGTCAAGGAACTCAATGGTGATGGGACGGGGCATCCTAACATCATCAAATATTGCTGGAATGCTCGAAGTACGCAAACAAGTGTTCTTCTTTTCTAATGCGGGCTTTATGAAATATTTCATGGGATCATATGGGGAAGAAAAAGACTGAAAAATTATGAAAATATTAAGCAATAAACAGCTTTATATAGCTACTGCTATTTGTAGCCATCCCAATGAACTACATGGTAAGGTTGGCTCCCTGCGCTGTGAGATATTTGACCATTTTGGAAGGTAAAACTATTATTTGAACGAACGTCCTTCGCAGTCGAATAGTATAGAGTCACTAAGGCTTCGAAAAACTTTTGAAAGTGAATCTTCCTCACTCAAGTATGATAATATATAACATATTACCACAATTTACATTTTTCCCCTTTTTTGTTACCTTAGCTGAAGAGTGCGAGCTAAGTTACGAGCACGGGAAATTTTCTCGATTAAAGAAAAGCTCTTGGTAAGTTTTGGAGTGAATAAATCCATATCATACATATCTAGAGTAAGAATTTCTTTGTCCTCCACCAGCTTTGGGATTCAAAATGGGAAGTTTCACCGTGAAACGAAAAAACTCAAATTTTGATATTGGGAACATTTGATTACTGTCAAAAAATCAATAAATCTCTATTAGTGATATTTAAAATTCTGACATGGCCCCAAAATTTCAATCGAATCTTAGAATTTGTCCGAACTTTTAGAGCTCCTTTGAAGTAAATCAGTGCAGTCATCACATTACACTTATCTACGTCGTTTATCTCAAAAACAGTTTGCTGTGCTACGACTTTACGTCGAGTAAGACGTTGGCTGAGTTTTTGAAAGACGACCGAATAACTCTAAACTTGGACCAAGTCTTAGTTATCGCCATTGATTTGATTTGTGCCATCGAATACATGGAACAGAAGGGTGTTGTTCATAACAACATAACAACTTCCCACGTGCTGTTAGGAAGAGGACTAAGGGTATGATAGATTATGAGCTTATACAGAATAACTTGACATTCATTTTGATAAAGTTTCGATGTATTGCACACTCTGATTGGGTGATCGAAAAACCATGCTTGACCAGAGTACAGATGTGCCGTAAGCAACGGCCAAGAGAATGTCTGATTTTTGCTCTGTTATTTTTCCGGGCCATTTAGACTCTAAAGAAACGCTCCCTTATCGCTTAGACAAACCCAAATGAGTGATTTAATGTCTTACAGTAGACACGGCAAAGACTGTACGAGTCCGGAAACACACCGGAAACACACCCACTGGTTATATTCAGAAGGGTTTAGTAATTTCAACCGATGTGAGACTGAACAAATATATTCCACACCGACTGAATTAAGAGAAAATAATGGCAAGTAGTTCTTTAGCGGGGGAATTAGTGATTTTGACACATCCAAACGTCCGGAACAGAAACCTCTTTCTATATTTGATTATTTTCTCTGGCTGAATGTAATCCGCTGCTGGTGTATAATTTTCGCCCAGATTCCACCGATAACAGCTGTTCTTGGAGGATTTGGTTCGGCCCAGTTGATATCTCGAGAATTTCCTGAATCCGCAAAAAGTGAGCGTGAAATGAAAGACGTCTTAGGGAAAAACATCCGTCAATTTGGTTTCTTGTTGACTAAGCTGATAAAGAGCTGTTACGAGGACGAACAGCTGGCAGAGGTACGTGATGAATTCTCATCTCATCGTTGTAGAAAATTTTAAGAGTCAGTGTCTTTTGCTTTTAGGGGCCAGCTATTATATTTTATTAATGGGTAGGGGGGGGAGGGGAATTTGGAGGATTTGGTCCGATCACATGTTTTTCAAGAGAAAGCGGAGCAGAATAAATCTTCGCGAATAGAGTAGAAAGGGGAGGGGGGGTACTCTAGAAAATTGACCCCCAATCAAAAGGGGGAATTATTAGAATTCTACAAAGCTTCCCCTTATCAGAAGAGTATAGCTGCTATTATTGCTAACTGATGGTATCTGAGCTAATAACAAAGATATTTTGATCTCATATCGGAGAAAGTATCTGACCAGTTTATAGTAGCTACGTACGATTCAATCCATCGCCAGCTAAGACAATTAACATTATCCATAATTTACTACTGTAGTACAGCTCTTGAAATTCCAATGAATTTTCCTCCATCAAGATGGCAAAAAAATCTTACTTGCATTTATTTTACTCGCTGCCGTCAACATAAAAAAAGATTGCTTTTAAGCTTCGAGACCAAGAATTCTGCCCCAATCAAGAACAAAAAAAAAGGTATAGGTCGATACTTTGCTAGCAAAATGTTTTGTCTATCCTTAGTCTTCTGCAAAACCACAATTATAACAATAAGCACGTTACACTGTCTCCAAATATCAAAACTTAACAAGGAACACTTCAGAGCTCGTAGAAAACTAATTAAGGAAAAAAAATTGTCAAGAGCTTCAAAAATACTTGCTTCACGTTGCGTTGAAGGCTAAAGTGATCGTGAGAGCCATATGGGGTGAGATACTGTCAACGTTCTGTAGGTAAGGAAACGAAATGTTATCCTTTTTCGTCCGTTGTAGATTCGAGAAGTGATACAAGTGTGTTTTGAGCAAGACCCGGCTGTTCGGCCAAAAGCTTCACAACTTCGAGGTCGTCTTGAAGAGCTGTGGTGCCGCAATGGGATCTGGGATACACATTTGTAGCTATTTACAAGCATCGGTTGTAAACTATTTTTAACTTCGTCCTACAAAGAGGCATATGGACTCTAAGACCTACACACACCTAAGATGCACTGAGCAGTCCTTGGCTTACCAAAATGATCCCTCGTAATTGAGAAATACTCAGAAACTTTCAGTTCTCATTTATCGTTTCATCTGATCATAATTTGTTTTCAATTGTCGTGTATGCTATTAATTTTTTAGTAAAATATTTTATTTGCTGAAGCTCATTCGCTTTTTAGACTTAAGTTGCGTGCGTGATTTGGATACGCCTTTTAGTTACAGTATGAGTTTCATTTCTCTCCAGTACTGTAACAAAACGGGTCGATGAAAACGAATTTACCTTACTAGTTTTGGACGTACTGTAGCCTCGGAATACGCTTTTGTGAAAGACCAGACAGGAGAGAATTACAATAATCTAACTTTTACGTTACAAATTATAATCGTTCACACATTTCGCTCGCGCGCAATCGGTCCTTAAAGCGTCAGGAGTCATCAGATATTTCTCAGTTAAATCTAGGAAGTATAGAGTATTCCCCAATGTAATTTTTAAATCTTGCAACAAATGCAAAGGCTCCTTCGAGTTGATTTAAGTCTGGGGATTGTGTAGCTGTTGTTATGTACTGAAGAGGAGAGAAGCCTTGGTCCAAACTACAGTAATCAAGTCGTTCTAAAAAATCGACGCCACTCTCTTTAACAACAGGGACCTTAAACAACCACGACAGCGACGTCAACGAGGACGTGGAAAAACAAGAGATCTAATTGGCAGGACAATAGCTCAGCACGTACATTTTGAAACTTTGTACATTTCTTAGCCGTCCTATGCAAACCAACAACGTGAAATCGCCAAAATTTGCGTCGTCTGCGAACCGAACCGCGACGGCAAATTATTTTAATTTCCATTTGGAACTCAACGCTACTTTTAAAGGTCATGCTGAAGTTGAGCTGTGGCGCCGTATGAGACAGTAAGCTCATGCAGCCATTTTTGAAATTCTAACTAAGAGTAGAAATTCATTTTTTAATCGAAGTCTTCCTTGGCGTTGCCGTCCTGACTGCTTAAGGTCCCTA